TGAACAGAGTCATGCCTACTCCCCAAAAGCTATTCTTCCTAATAGTGCCACTCCCTACAGACCTATGGGGAACATTTTCATTCAAGCCGCCACAGCAACCAAGATCAGGGGCAATAGCCTGTGTTATTAGGGGTGCTTCAGGTCTTCCCCGATACCCTACTAGGGAGGGATTCAACTCCGGGCATAAAAACTTAGAATTTATAACCCATGTTTGCTTACTCATGCAGGGTACCTCTGTTCAAATTCATTTTTGTAGGCATTATATCTCTTAATTAGCTTTAAAACTTCTTCCTGTATCCTTAGTTTTGGCTAACCCACACTCTACCCTCTCCTTTCCGTAATCCCTGTCCCCTCACTTAAACCTTGAACTCCGAGAATTCCTCCCATCTCTTGAGCTTTTAACCTTTTAAAATAATGTGGAGACTCCCTGACCTTTAGCTTTCGAGTCAGTGATGGCCGCACAAGCCTACCGTTGTCTAGCTATCATACAGTGGCTGGAGTAAACCATGCTGTCTACGTCACGTTGGTCTCTATGGGCAGCTTTTCCATCAGTGGCGTCTAGCGGGTATGGGATCCCTGGCTGTGGATCTGTACTCTCCCATGGAAAGACTATCAGGAAGTAAATCTGCCTGAGATTGGGAGTGCCCTCAGATACTCACATGGCTTAGCGATAACCTTCACTTCTTTGTGTGTGTGGTTGTGTACATGTATGGCTCTTTCTGTTCCCAGAGTCCCAGCTAACTGCCTGGAATGTTTGTGGTATGCCCTGAGACAATCCACACATTTCCTTCACATGGGACAAAGGCACTGGCCACTGTATTTTCCTCTGCTCTCACGAACTGACTCCACAAGGGAGGTGCCTCTCACGGGAAGGGTGGGTGTGGAAGAGCTGTGATGGCTTCTGAGAGTGACTCTGCCAGATTCGGAAACATTGGAGGAGACTGCAGGTTTCGGTAAGAGAAGTAGGAAAAACCACTAATGTCTTAAATATCTTCCAATAGATTATAAAACATTTGACTAATTTATGATGATTTGTAGTTAGAATTCTATTTCCCTTCATGGGTGTGGTATCATGAGATAATGAGACATCACTTCATGCTTGGCATCTCAGTTTTCAATATGGCATTGGCTATTATTTGATGTCCTGATAGTATGTTATTGACTGCAATCTGCTTATGAATCCCAAACCTATGAGATATTATTGTATGAAAGATAGTATTGTATGATATCTTCCTAGATATCGTAAGGACTAACTTATCAGAATTATTAAAGAGGTGGCGCTGTGATACAGTCCAAATCCTGTTGGATATTTCCTGATTTCTAAGCAATGTACTTTAATTGCCATTACGTAGTTAACAGAATTTGGCGAGGAATGTCTAGTGTTTGTTTTTAAATATGTATTAACTATCATTAGTTTTTAGCTTCAACTTCTTGCAATGAAGTGTTGTGATTTTTCATGTTTCCAACTGGTACATTCTCAGTTTGTTGGAACTGCTGTGCAACCTTATGTTCAGAAGCCAAATAATCATGGAGGCCGAGGGAGTGGTACTTGCCTCTCATGGCTGTTCTTTGTGTCCCATCAGCATTGTGTGTTGGGGAGACTCCATGCTACTCTTACCTTCCCCTCTGAGCTGTGAATTCCCATAGGCTTCCTGACAGAAAAGGAGTGGCAGCTTGACATTCTTTCAAGTTGAGGATTTTTTTTTTTGCATTAATTTTGTGTTATATGCATGACAGCCCCAGATTCTTTTTTGTGTACAAGAAGTGTTTCAATTTATATGCCACTAAGAAAATAAAACCCTCTTTGTTTCACGCTCCCTCCAAGACCCCTGCTTGAGGAGAGGAGCATCAAAACATTATTTAAAATGCCTTTTTGGAATGTGCCTTAAGTACACACTATTCAAGAATCAATTGCCTGATATAGCTTGAGGGAAATGCTATAAGGACAGAGATGTTTGTGACAGAATGGAGAGAGGGGCAGATTCTTTGTTAGGGGAAATTTCTGAGCAAAAACTGGGAAGAATCACTAAAGAGAGTAGGGTCCTTAGTAACACACATCACCGCTGTAAAATTTTTTAGAATAAGAAACTAAATTGCTCTTCTAGTTCCAATGTCTTAATTGGGAAGTTCCAAGGGAGAAAGACTGTATGGTTTCTTGAGCCACAGAACAGAAAGATACCCTAATCCTAGCTCTTGTAAACAATTAAATCCAACCCTTGTATGCAAGTTCTTCATAGCCTTTCATTTTTATTCCTTCATTCACTACTGATTTTAATGTGTATGTGTGTGTGTTTCCTCTGCCAGTGTGTGCCGTCGCCTGGGTCTATAGGAGATGATGTATCTGTGTTCTTGTGCACTGGTACAAACTGTTTTCTCCAATAGACCATTGTATTCTAGAGAGACTGACTTCTGTTCACCAGAACTGGCACAGTCTGGCATTTAGGCTTGGGTGCCACCTCTCAAAACTGGGGCAATGAGAGTGGGCTGATTAAAATGCACTTCAGAACCTGCTGCAGGAAAAGAGATGTGAGTGTGTTTGTTATGCATTCATGTCACCAAGATTGATAGCGCGGTGTGTTTCTCTTTTTTTCTCTTACAACTACCAAAAAAAAAAAAAAAATAATAATAATACCAGTTTACTTTTAAAATTGATGATCATTTTCAAACTAAGTCTAAAGACTTACAAGCAAAACTATGAAAATGATCTTAGGTGTAGTCACATATGACTTTTTAGTAAAGAGAGTTTTCCATTTTTAAAAATGCTGTCAATATGCACACCCTTGCAAACAGACTCTCGTAGAAGCGTTTTAAACATGCTCCCCAAGTCCGTATTACACAACAGTTGCAGTTATTGACAACGGTAGTAGAAAAGCTTAAGTGCTTTTCAGATCATTTATAGCAGTTTATTGGGGTCATTAAATCATAAACAGCCTTTCAACCTGTTTTCTTCATTCTTACAACTTTGAGGAAGGCCAAAAGATATCCCAGTTATCTTCACAGAAGGGCAAGTGGCCCACACTGCCACTGGTGGAAGACACTCTGACACTTATCCCTGCCTGGGGGGCTCTTACTCTGTCCTGTATTTCTGGTCCCACATCCCATCTGCAGATTCTGTCAGTCAGGGACATATGGGCAGCCATTTTCTTCTTTGTCTCTGTTGTTCCGTGGGTAACAATGAGTAGGTGACTTCCTTGTACTTTGGGGAGGCTATGATTTACTCTTGAAAGAGCCCATATCTTGAAGTGGTGAGGACCACAGACCCTTGAAGTAACTGTAGATCCACACCCAGGAGCTATGGGACTCAGGAAAAGGTGGTCACACTGGGGCTCTGTTTTCCAGGAGGTAAACTGAGCTTAATAAAAATACCTATCTCCTGGGAGGTTGTGACAACTGAATGAAAGATTACCTGCACAGAGTAGGTCCTTTATGTGTTCTAATACCTTTACTTAATAATTTCATTCTATAAATTATAAGGGGCTTCAGTATTCAGGTCCAGAGAGGCTTCATTCATTATTCATGCTGTCAAGAGACTTCTCCAGTTTCTAGGGATGCTGTGAACACTTGCCCCCAGGAAATGCATCTCTAACTGACAGGCCTCTGCCTGCAGTCTCTGCTTATTGCCTTTGAGGATCTTAGTCTCAGGGTGTGTTGGAAGGGGCCCTGGGCCTAGAAGGAAAGACTATAGTACATCCTTAGGGGGCTGTGAGCTTGTGCCAGCCATGTAACCTCATAATTCCTATCTCCTCACAAGAAAGCTTCACCCATCCAGCCTCCAAGTGTACTTCTAAAATCCTGGTCCATGTTTGTGGTTACTGAAGTCAGTCCATGTTAGCACAAACCCTGGGCGATGTGGAGCCACTGCTTACTTGAGGAATGAGCAAAAGGACTTAGCTGTCCCTACAACAGCTAGGTCAGAGTCACCTACTGACTTTATGCAGTTTGTGGTAATGAACATTGTTAGGCATTTGAAAGCAAGTAGTCTATATACATCACAAGAAAATGGCATCCATAAAATTAAAGAAAGGTTGCATTCTATCGTGGAAAATGTCTGGCAGACAATTGTCATCTCTCCGAATGAGACTATGCTTCATAGAATGCTCTTGTAGTCAGTACGGCCCCTGCACCCTCAGCTTTTCAGGGTCATGGCCGCCTACACTGGTGAGGATGGGAGGAAGTTACTTCCTCTTTTGTCTGTGCGCCGCAGAAACACAGCCCACTTCGGCACACTTCTGATGTCCTTCAGGCCCTGAGCCAGTGTCCGTGCACACACTTAAACACTGTAATAATAAATTCAAGTCAAAAATAAAACTAGCAGGAAAAAATTTTTTCTGACACATTGATGCAAACGACAGCCAGCGTGTCCCAGCAACCCTGGTGTGCCTTTTGTTTTGATGGATGTGTGGTACCTTGAGAGGCAGACAGGAACATTGTCCTCAGGATGCTGCAAAGCACAGAAGGAAAGCGGATAGCTACTGATGCTCCAGCAGAGGTCTGCGGAAATAACCCAGTCAGAGCAGCTCGTCAGGCGTGAGGCTGTGTGAGGTCCACCACCGGATGCTTTCCTTTGTGCTGTTTTCTCTGGTGAGCTGGCTTAATTTTCAGTTGTATGGGAGAACATCTTTCCTCGTTTTCGTCAGAATCTGGAAGCGTCTGTCTGACTGGACAGGAACCGCGATAGCGTGCCTACTCTCAGACTGTGGGATGGGAGGTCCCGGTGTTCTCAGTGCGTTCACACGAGGTCCCGATGCGGTTCCTATGCCAAAGCGTGGCCAGCAAGCGTGCAGTGAGCTGGGAGGCTAGGTCTGAGGTTGCAGAACTGAAGCGCCAAGAAAATGGCTCCCATCATGCTGGAAAAGAACTTTGGGTATGTCCCTGGAAAGGTGAGCGCCTAAGTCTGGGTGTGTCTCAGACCTTGTCAGCGCGTCTCTGAAGAAACAGAGCAATGTCAGTGCATGAGCCTGGCCCATAACGTTCTTCTTTGCTATTTCTACCATTTGTAGGGACAAGGAGACCTGCTGAAGAACGCCAAGAATGAAGCTATAGAGAACATGAAGCAGATGCAGCTGGCCTGTTTGTCTTGTGGACTGAGTAAAGGCCCTGGCAGTGGGGCCGAGGCCAAGGGCAAGCGCAGCCTGGAAGCAATAGAGGAGAAGGAAAGTAGCGAGGAGAACGGGAAGTTGTGACCTGGGCAGTGCACATGCCCTTGTCAGGGACTCTGATTTCCCATTCTTGTCTTTGTGTTTTGTTCCATTCTTCAGATGCTCACAGAAATGATGCCCTCCATGGGCAGCTGTACATAAACATATGTTTTCACAGTGTCAGTATTTTCCTGTAGTTAATTTATCTAAGTTAAAACTTTTAGTAGCAGTGTTTTAAACTCTGAGCTGTGGCTGTCTGTGTGCATGTGTGTGTGTGTGTGTGTGTGTGTGTGTGTGTGTGAGAGAGAGAGAGAGACCCTGTTAAAATCTGTTCTCTGTTGTATTATTGGTTCCAGTTTTTATCTTTATCATCATTTGGAGACAGCTGATAATCTGAATCCTAATGGACATTTATTGTAACTCATTGCTGTGGTTAGTTTTGTCTCTCTGCCTTTGTCATTTAATTTTGGAGATCTTAGCACAGCTTATCATTGAAGAAAACCAAATTATCAAAGCAAAAGTGTTTCATAGATTACATGTAGATTTAAAAAAAAATCCTCAAAATTATAGTAGAAATAAAAGTGAATAAAAAAATCTTTTAAAATTAGAAATCTGGAAAGATAAATTAATTTCTTCATTTAGCAAAATCATTAAAATATTTACTATACAAAATCAAATTTAGGAAGTTTCTGTAGATGTTTGCTAAGCGTGTGCCTTTGGTAGAAAAGCTAGCCAGAGTAAATTGGTAGCTACCAGGCGGTACTCTGAAGCACACTAAATGATCTGTTGTAGCTGGGATTGTTGATGTGACAGTGGCATTCACTTGTGAAATTTCAAGCTTTGTAGGAAGACCTCTTCTCCTGAGGTGTGAGTTTGGGGTTCATTTTCTATTACCAATTGTGGGCAGACACAAGTACTTGGCAAGGACTAAATTTCATATAGGGTACTAAATTTAAAGACATTGTTAAAATAATATCATACCATCGTGTTGAGCTGACAAATTCTATAAGTCAGATAACATCTTTATGATTTGAGAGCTAGCAAATTAGACAACATATATGGGATAATTTTAAAACATACAGTAAGACACAAGCAAATGGCTAATTAGAGTACATAATTTTATCTAGATAATTTTACCCTAATGTCTTCATAAACTTCTTAAATGTAATGTTTATTCATTACCACCAACTGAGCTAAATGTTCTACGGTTATGAAAGAATATATTTATTTAAAACATTGCTTTTATTTTGAAAAGCTTCTTAATTAATTTGATTAACAAATATGCTAATTTGGGGGAGCCTAGAGAAGATAATTGTTGAAATTTTGCAAATAGCAACATCCTCTATAGCTACTGTGTTCTTCCCGAGTTTTCTTATTCTCTGTTCTCGTTGCACACTACCAAAAAAGTAAAGATGTCAAAAACAGATCTCTTGTTCTCTTTTCTTGTGAATTTATTGAAAAACAAACAAACAAACAAACCACAAAACAAAGGTTTTTTTTATGTAAAAATGTTAGAGAGCACACCATTTTCACAGACCATGTATCATAAATTTACTCACCAGGCTAAAACCAGGAACGTGTGGGGAGGGGACTGGGTTCATTTGAAGACAAATTCCCAAGGATGCAATGATTACCTGATGGTTTCTACCTGTTCCACTGAAGCCACTGTGGGATTAACAGTGAAGAAGAGTTGCTATGACTTCATATGAGGAAGGGTAAGCGCTACTGACAGAAAGAAGAGCTGCCTCACATCAGCCAGCTGGAGGCTTCCTCGGCGTCTCAAACTTCATTTGGATCAGTCCATGACTTACACGTGATAAAGCTGGGTGGCAAAAACATAAAGAATATACATAATTTTTTTTTCTTTGCTTTGGGGTCAAACATAGTCTTTAGAAGTCCCTAGTTCATTCCATCCATCCTTAAGCTCCGTTCATATGTAGCATCTATTGCATCTTGTGGAGAATATGCTGTGGACTCTTTCTTCTCTGATACTCTCTGGGCAGTTGTCAACACCTTTTTTTTTATGTTCAATTTTTTTGTTTGTTTTCCTTGAATTTATTTATTTATCTAATACAATGTATTCACTTTGTATCCCATCTGTAGCCCCCTCCCTCATCTCATCCCAGGCTCACCTTCCCTCCCTCTTTTCCCTTTATGGCCCTCCCATAGTCCACTGATAGGGAGGTTCTCCTCCCCTTCTATCTGACCCTAGCCTATCAGGTATCATCAGGACTGGCTGCATTGTCTTCCTCTATGGCCTATAGGATAAACATACTAAAATCTGAATACCTAAAGAACCTAAGCAAGCATTTAGTCAGAGTCCTCCTTCTTGATTAGTTTCTTTAGGTGTATAGATTTTAGTAGGTGTATCGTATATTATATGTCTAATATCCACTTGTGAGTGAGTATATACCCTATGTCTTTTTGCTTCTGGGATACCTCACTCAGGATGATCTTTTTCGGTTCCCACCATTTACCTGTAAATTTCATGATTTTTTTGCTGAGAAATATTCCATTGTGTAGATGTACCACATTTCTGTATCCATTCCTCAGTTGAGGGGCATCTGGGTTGTTTCCAGCTTCTGGCTATTACAAATAAAGCTGCTACAAACATGGTTGAGCAAATGTCCTGATATGCCTAGGAGTAGTACAGCTGAATCTTGAGGAAGCACTATTCCTAATTGTCTGAGAAAGTACCAGATTGATTTCCAAAATGGTTGTACAAGTTCACATTCCCACCAGTAGTGGGGAAGGGTTCCCCTTTCTTCACAACCTCTCCAGCATGTTTTGTCATTTGAGTTTTTGATCTTAGCCATTCTGACGGGTGTAAGGTGAAATCTCAGGGTTGTTTTGATTTGCATTTCCCTGATGACTAAGGACACTGAACATTTCTTTAAGTGTTTTTCGGCCATTTTGATATTCCTCTGTTGATAATTCTCTGTTTAGCTTTGTACCCCATTTTTAAATTGGATTATTTGATATGTTGCTGTTTAACTTCTTGAGTTCTCTATATATTCTGGATATTAGCCCTCTGTCAGATAAAAGGTTGGTGAAGATCCTTTCCCAATCTGTAGGCAGTCATTTTGTTCTGAGGACAGTGGGACTCTGGCTAAATGCTCAAACCCCTTACAGAAAGGCAAAGAGGAAGGATATCAGAAGAGGGAGAAAACAGAGAACAGGACAGGAGCCTGCCACAGAGAACTTTTAAAAGGATCTACCCTGCAGGGTATCAAAGCAGATGCTGAGACTTATGGCCAACCTTTGGGCAGAGTGCAGGGAATTTCATGAAAGTAGGAAATAATAAGACCTGAAGAGGACAGGAGCTCCACAAGGAGAGCAACAGAACTGAAAAAATCTGGGCACAGGGGTCTTTTCTGATACTGATGCTCCAACCAAGGACCATTCACGGAGATAAACTAGAACCCCTGCACAGATGTAGCCCATGGCAGTTTAGTGTCCAAGTAGGTTCCATAGTAATGGGAACAGGGACTGTCTCTGACATGAACTGAGTGGCCTGCTCTTTGATCACCTCTCCCTGAGGGGGAGCAACCTTTCCAGGCCACACAGGAAGACAGTGCAGCCACTCCTGATGAGACCTGATAGACTAGGATCAGAAGGAAGAGGAGGAAGACCTCCCCTATCAGTGGATTTGGGGAGGGGCATGCGTGGAGAAGGAAGAGGGAAGGTGGGATTGGGAGGTGAAGAGGGAGGGGGCCATGGGGGGGATACAAAATGAATAAAGTATAATTAATAAAAATTAAAATAAAAATGGAAAAAAAGGGAGCTAAGCAAGAATGAGGACCCTAGGGAAATTGCTCAATCCTCATTCAGAAAGGCAAATGGGATAGCAGAAGCGGAAGAAAACAGAGAACAGAACAGGAGTCTGCCACAGAAGGCCTCCGAAAGACTCTACCCTGCAGGGTATTACAGCAGAGGCTGAGACTCATAGCCAAACTTTGGGTAGAGTGCAGGGAATCTTATGAAGGAAGGGGGAGATAGAAAGACCTGTAAGGGAAAGGAGCTCCACAAAGGGACCAACAGAACCAAAAAAACGTAGGCCCAGGGCAAGGACCATGGATGGGGAGGACCTAGACCTCTGCTCAGATGTAGCCCATGGCAGCTCAGTCTCCAAGTGGGTATCCTAGTAAGGGGAACAGGGGCTGTCTCTGACATGAACTCAGTGTCAGCACCTTTTTATCCACTCCCTGAGCATCTCTGTTAGCCAGGAAGAGTTCAGGAAGTTCTGCTAGTCAGACACAGCCCAGAAAGAAACTTTAGAAGTGCTAAGAGGACGCCCTTATGACAGTATTGCCTTGGGATAAACTAGTAAAAGCAGAGTGACAGATAAGCTTTGCTATTTGCACACCACATTTTCTACTCTACACATCTGTCCACATATGGTAGTCTTGAACTGCCGTACAGAAAGCACTTTCACCCATTACCTTTCGGTGATGCCAGGCAGTTATTATATATTGGTTATTAATTCTACTTTCACATCTCTAATGGAATTTGAGGAAGGGATGGTAACCATAATCACTGACATTTATAGAATGAGAAGTCATGGTCATTGACATAGCAAATAGAAGATCTAAACTTAAGCTCATGTCTGTCTGGTATGCACAAAAGTGTTTATTCAGTGATTTTAATTTTATTCTCAAAAATTCTAACTCGATCTCTAACTCTCTTATCACCACAAGAAAGGTATATCATCTTTCTTCTGAAAATAAAACATTAACAATTGATATGAAAGCTCAAAAACAGACAGGTGTATGAAACAAAAATAAAACCATCACTAACTTTTTGATTTATATTTCCTCAGGCATTGTATGCAAGTGTGCATGATATTTTGATAAAATTGTAAATGTGAATTCTTGTAGTCATCAAATGTCTTGCAAAAGTGGGTAAGCTAGAGAAATTAAAAAAATAATTCCTATCCAATCCAATTTCTTTCTTTAAAATCTTGGATGTTTTAACAACCCAAGACACTTTTCCTCCTTCATCTTAACATGCACACAGTGCTGCTTGGCATCAGTTGGAGAGAAGTCTCTAGAAAGGACACATGCTGTCCCGTTAGTCAGAGAACCTGACTCATGATGCTGTTTCTGGTGACAGTGGACATGTAAGTGGCGATCTTTGGACCATAAAATGATTTATAGTTATTATTCTATGTCTTGAATGTGATATATCATAATATATTTGGGTAATATCTTATTGTTAGACTTTCTCTATTCTTTTATTCTTTTATTTTTTGATATGCAAACATTACAGTGATAAAATCTACTGTAAAGTTATTTAAACTTTTCTTTAGAAGAAATTTCTAGAAGTGGTGTGATTGAATCCAATGTATTTTTGGTTTTGAGATAAATTGCCAAATACTCTTAAGAAAATTTTACAATTGAAGTTTTGACAAGGAATTTATAAAAGTATTTCAATGTTGAAAATACATTGTCTTTTTTTAATTTCATCACTGCCAATGTACTGTTAAATTTTTTCTATTTTCAGTGTCTAGAGAAATTTAATAACATTTTATTACCAATTATAGTCTCATTAGAAATATATATATTTATA